AGAAGAGATGGGGAAAATTCCTAATGCTCTTTCACCTCAGTTGAATCCATACTTGTCAGGGAACGTAAGCCTTAAAAAGGAAACCCTCTGGAAAAGTTTGAGAGCTGCTACTTTAATCTTCACCTTCTGAGAAGTTTCAAATATCAAGAGCAGAGAGAAGAGAGAGGCTGAGTCTCTAATTAGTGAAGGAGGCAGGTAGGACATTAATTGATTTGCTATGCTACTTCTTTGACCTGAGCTGTGTTTGAGAACAACAGAGGAGCTGTAATGCCCCTCAACAACAGAGCAGAGCTTTTATCTAATAGCAGCTGAGGGACCTTTGATCACAAACTGGTGCTGTAAATCTGTAATTTTTATAATGATACTTTTTGCTACATTTATTTTATTTTTAGTTATTTATTCTTTGCTTAGGAACTAGTTTATCAGAGTTTGGACGACCTTCTTGTTTTACACAGCATTTGGCAAGTCCTGAAATCATTGCCTCTGCTCATAGTGGTATAGTACAAATCTAGTAACATCCGTGAGAAAGTGGTTTTATGGACAATCAGGTCATTACAAACTTGAAAATTAAGGAAAGAGGGGAAAGAAGGTGCAGAAAGATTAAGGGAAGATTTATTTGTATCTGTCCTGGATTGCTATTTAGGGTCAAACTTACTATGTAACAGTGTCTGTCATGACTCCACAGTCCCAAATTTCAAAGTGAAACATGATACTGTCACTGCATAGTCCTTTGAAAGTTGACTTCAGTGAAGGTGTTTAATAGTGAAAAGAGTTTAATTAATGTTTTAGAACCAGAGAGACATTTATTTTCAAGAGAAACATAAAAATAATGTTCTAGAAGAGTGTGTGTGCTGTGACAGTTTGATATCAAAAATTATTGGCTTACAAAAATGTGAGGGCTTGGGCATAATTGGATCAGTGTGTTGAGCAATGACAGAAAGGGTGTCTCAGCTCTTGCATAGCCCCAGAGCAGAAGCACTGACAGAGAATTTAATGAAAACGTGCGACACAAACACACAAACATCCAACATCTCAAAAAGGGAAGAGCCAAGAGCTTTTATTTGCAAACAAAAGGTCCCTGACACTGAACATAATTCCTGGTGCTCCCTTTTGGCATTTTTTCACAGTAGGACTGCTTTCTGCTTTCCCTAGTCCCAGCAACCAGTTTAAAAAGGATCAGACAATTAGCCTGAGTTCCAGACAGAAATTGGATTTCTGTTTGTCAGGGTTCCCTGTGTAGCCAAAAAGGAAACAGAGATGATCCCTCACACCACAGAGAGGTGACTGAGACATTCAGGATGCAGTGTCCTGGTTAGATGAAATGTCCTTTGCAACTGCCTGTCCAGCCTCAGAATCCAATGGCAGCAGAATGATCTTGGATCTACCTTTGTCTTAGCTAAACTGTGGATGCAAACCAACATAATTGCATGGTAAAATGATTCAATAAACACTGTTATCTGGGCAAGTCACTTTGGAGGGGATTTCACCTGAGACAAAGAAAATAATTTTTTATTTGGTAGAAGAAGGCCCAGATAGGGAAATGGGCTTGTTTATGTGTAGTAATTTAACTCAGCATCTGTGTAATGAATAAAATTTTAACTGTGGGACAAGTCCATATATCAAAGTGAAGTGTTGCTTTTCCTGAAAGGCAGCACTTCCTGTGTGTGGCCACATGACTCAGTGAGCCTGAGAGCTTCAAGCAGTAAGGGATGGGGTTATTTTGACATAATATGAGTGGTTTATTCCTCTCCACCTTGATCCATGATTGTGCCTGTCATTGTACAAGATTTCTGATTATGTCAAAGAGCAGTAATGTGTACTATGTACAGAATAAGGAATTCCTTACCTGAATTTTGGCGCCTGAAGGTACAAGTAAAAGACAGACATTTACATTTTCTGGAGAACACAATTGTCTATTTGTTCATTAAGCATCATTCATTTCATGGCCCTCTGTGTTATGGAATAGAAAATAATACATGTGGACAGGAAGAATACCCCAGTCCTGTTCTGGGAAAAAAACCCTCAGCCAAAATAAGTATTTGACTGTTTTGCAAGATACTGTCTCACATGATGTAATATCAGGCACCTGGTGTAGTCTCATCATCATTGGTCTCAGCTTTTGTCCATGACTAACAAAAATTAGGCAACATATTAAAAAAAAAAAAGGAAAGGACTGTGGGCCAGATGGTTTTTGAGAACTGACTAAAGTGGGAGGTGAAGTAAGCATTTGACAATGCACGGGGAAAAGATTAATCATCACTTCATGTTCTACGTCCAAACCAATTGTGTCTGTGTTATCTGTGATGCCTGATTTTGCTTAGGACAACAGGCATTCCCTGTCTGGGACACTGGACTGTCCCTCTGAAGGAGAGCTGGGATCAGGCAGATACAAGCAGCCTAACTCAGATATGCACAGAAATCCTTACAGGTATTCACACAATCTGATCACAAACTACCACGTCTGAACCACAGAATAGTGCATGTTTAAGTAATTCAAAATGCTGGCACCTCCTGTTAAAGGCTGTGTTGGCTATTTGTGTTTGTGTTCAATAGGATTCATAGGAATATCCTGGGATCCCACAGGAAATTTGTCCCACGTGTCCAGGCTGGGCCGCAGGGGGAACAGTGCCTGCTGTCCTTTGCCAGCTGTGTGCAGGCAGTGACCTGAGGGTGATGTGCAGGGCTGGAACCCTCTGCACACCTGGTGCCAATGCCCTGCACCAGGCAGCCTGCAAGGGAGACCCAGACTGAGCACTGGACCTGTGGGGTACCAAGGGCTTCTTTGGAAGGGACTTCACTTTGTTTGTTTTGTAGATCAGATGGCAAACACTGGAACAGAAGAATCTACAAGGGGATGCAGGCATAGAAAATCATAAATTGACACTATGTTAGCCTTTTTGTTCAGGTAACACGCGTCAAACATGTTGAATTTTGCATTTTAAAATGCCAGGTATGGCACACCAAACTATTGCAGCATTTTTAAATTTTCCAATCAAATTCCAAAAGCAATTATCAAAGGCCTACTATATATCTAATAACTATTTGTATAGTTGGAACCTGGTATAAGTTGGTACCTCCATGGCAAGAATATTTTTGTTAAATACTGTCCTTTTGTGGCAGTTTTTCTATGGACCTGACAGCTGATTATCTTTGTGCACAAAGGATATTAAGCAAAATGAACACAACTCATATATGCAGGTGGATAGAAGTGGTTCCTGATACACACACAAACACACTCTATTTGTCTGTGTATATACATATATGAGTTGTATAGAAGTACAACATTTGACACAAATTTGTGAATTTTTATGTCCCTGATCTATATTTTCTTGTAATATTCCATGACTACTTGATATACTAAAATCTGTTGTGATATTTAGACTGTTAACACCATTACAAAAGCAAACATTTTTTTTTATTTTTTTTCATTACTTTCAGAGCTATCAGCCCTCATTTCACATCCTGTTTTGTGAAAAGAGAGGCCAGTTTCAACAGGTTTAGATTTCACTTTTGGGAGAGGGAAGAATTAGTAGTTCAGAGACGGCTCAGATAAGCCTGACCTTAACTGACACAGTGGTATGTTGGTTTCTGCTCAGTGAAGGAGAAAGAGGGAGAAGCAATATTGCCAAGAACTTCAAATTCATGAAGATTTCAGCTTAGATTTTCTACAGATGACTTAAAACAAAAGACATACGAATTTCTACAGTTAAGTATATTTTGTCTCCGTGACCTCCCATCAGATGTGAAAAGCAAGGGACTCAGTTTCTGGCTCCCAGGACATCTCCAGGTAATGTCCCAGGGGCTCCCACGAGCACAGTCCCTGCTGAGGGGGAGACTCCCCTGTTTGGGTTCTGCTTCTGACTCCTCCAACTCCTGCTGCTTCTGTGGCCCCAGATTCTCACACTGGATGGCTCAGCCTTTGCTTAAAAGGAACTTAGGTTTCCTTGCTCCATCTCTCTGGATTAAATGGGATTTGCAATTCCTGAGCACTTTTTTCCTTTTCTTTTCTGCCTTATTTCTTTGCTGCTGCTCGAAAACTTTGACAGAATCTCTATGAGCTTCTTACAGGTGAGTTTTTCAGTGGCACATTAGTTGCTTTTGTTCATCTAGGCTGGTGCTCTGCCTCCAAAACTGGGAAGAAGGTGAGAGAAATATGAGAGTTCCTGGTTTCAGAAAAGCTCCCCCGAAGAAAACTGTCTTTTCTAATACCTGATAATTAAAAATTCATATCTGAGGGTTTATTTCTATTCTAATTTATCTCCTGAGGTTAAAAGTGTTTTATTTCTTAGTAATGTAGTTCCTGATGTTGCTGTCATTGCTGAAATATTTGGGTCTCTGTACGTAGCTGTGCTCTGGGTCCTCATGGTGCCCTGGAAGGAGCAGATGAACACCCCGGGCAGCGGCAGCACATGCTCCCGGAGCAATCCAGCCAACATTCCTCAGCTCTGACCCGAGGACCACCTCTGGAGATAAGAGTCCCTTCTTATCAGTGAGCCCTCGCTTTCTCTGCCAAGGCTGTCAGCAGAAAGGACAGTCAGAGCCAACACTGGAGTTGTGCAGCAGGGGCTCATTCACCAGAAACCCTTCCGTGATCACCGGCGTGATTTCAGATCCACCACCAGAAAATTTATATCGGAACATATTCACATTCCCCTTTCACCCAGAGCTTGAACCCTGGAGATCTGGCAAATGACCAATTCTGTGCCTCATTAGTTTGTTCCAGAGCTGGCACTTATGTAACTCTGAGCTCTCTCTGCAGTGTGTCAGGAATCACACACACACTGGCTGCGCTTTGCAGACCAGGAGGGGTTGTTACCTGTTCAGAGATGAAACCTTAGAACCGTTGGATATATCCTAAAAGTCAAACATTTAAATTGCCATCTCTACTCTTACCTCCTCTTGATGTAACTGGTCATGTTATAATTTAAAATATTCTTCATATGACTAATTATTTGCCTAAATCACAAATATTTCTTTTCCTTTGCAGATATTTGCTATGGCAATTGCTGGTTTTCAGTTCTCAGAAGTCACTGCCACATAACCAGAGGGTGGCTGACAGACCAGTTGTCTTAAAAGCTTTGGTTCTGCAGACTTGCTCATCTGCTGTTCAGTAGCAACATAAAATAGCAACACAGGTTCTTATAGTGCCAAATCATCCTGACTCTGCAGACAGCTCTTTCCATAATGTGCATGAAAAGATTAAAAGTTAGCCAATAATTTTTCAATTAATCATGGTTTTCCATCAAATCATTTTCCTAGGATGACCTTAAAACACTTTGTAATTTTATTTCATGTGTCTCAGTGCATATAAAACTGTGCTCATGCATCATTTGACATTCCTCAACTGAGGAGGTTGATGTTTTGGCAGAGCTGGGTGTTGATGTCTTTATGGATGGAAAATTTTGGTTTTATATTGTATCAGTAACTCTACAAGATGTGATACTGGGATTTAGGGATCTAATCTCCTGGAAAATGATGAGTGAGCCTCAAGTCTATTCTTGCTAAGCTTTGAGAGAAAGGCTGACACTAGGGGCGTATGCAAGTGCTCTTCAGTTGTTCGTTTGACACTGAAAGTCTGAAGTACAAGAAAATCATTGTTTTTAGCCTGGCTCCAGCGGATGTATTTATAAAATATACAGATTCTCTTTACATTTTAAGTAAGACTTAAATAAGCCTGAAATTTGAAGCATCTGTCTCTTGGAATAGGATGCTATGGAATATTTATTTTTCCTGCTGTGTGATATTTATTGTCTTACAGCCTGTATCTACAGTCCTGCAGCACAGAGAAAAGAAATCCTGATCATGTTAACCTCTGACAATTTCACTTTTGCTGTGGGAACATGATGAGCTATTTTCCATTTCCTCAGAAGCTCGTTGGAATTTACCCTGGAATTCATGTGAGAGCTTCAGGTTTGTACTTCTCCCTGTGCCACCTGTTTGTCTATTTTATAGCAAACATTCATCCTGATTTGCTTTTGGCAATGATCTCAATGATCTTTGCCTTTCTCCTCTTCTGCATGAATTAATGTTTCACTGTACAGTGAGTGGAGATTAGCTGATCAAAACAGCATCCACCTTTCCATCCTCTGTGGGCCAAAATCCTGTGGGATCTATTTCCAAGATACTCCTACAAGGCAGAGCAGATCTTTAGCCTCACTGTGCTGTGGGACAGGTAACTTCCCAAATCCTGGGGTCAGGCAGCTTTGCTGGATTCTTCTTAATGCCCCATGATACTTTGGATCCAAAAGCACTAAATCCCAAGTTTCCCCCTTGTGAGCATTACAAATGATGTCTTAGTCTACCAGCACTGGAAAACCTCTTTTTTATGTCTTTGTTTTTAATACATTTTTATTTACAACAGAAAAATACAAAAGCAAGTCCCACAAGCTTTTAATTTAAATTTTTAAAACAAAGTGAGCTGTCCTGAGTCTGTCTACTGCAGGCACTGTCAAGACAATTCCATCTTGAATACTTTCTGTTTTAAAAATATTCTGCCCAGAATATATGTTTCAAAATTTTGATTGGTCTTTTTAAAGTGATAGGCATCTGTTGTTGAATATGTTGAGATGAACAGAGAATGTTTTTCCTGCTAATTACAGTGTTAGCACTTATGTCACATTCCAGATTTATTCCCTAACTTGGGAGGTAGGTAAATAAAGAGACAGAGTCTCCTTCAACTGCAAAGGGAAGGACAGAGGTGGAATAACAAGGTAGACCCAGGTTTTGAAGTCGTCAGTTCACAGGTTGAAGTTCTGTGCCCAGCTCACTACAAACCATTACACTGGCAGATATTGGTTCATTCAGCCCTCTAGAAATCTAATCATCTTAGGATTTCCAGTGTCTAAGTTCACAATAACATTAATTACCACGCAGAAGTCTGGCTATTTCAAGACAATTAAGAGATATTGAGAGAATTGGTGGAAGAATGAATCAGGGGTCACAGTCTAGTTCAGAATACAGCCAACCAGTGCTCAATCTGACAAATGAAAACAAAATACAAAGCTTGAGAGGAGCCAAAAAATACCTTAATAAATAATTAGAGCCTGTAGGTTTCAGGGAGCCGGGTTCCCTTGGCGACAGTGGCCAGCAGCCGTTTCTGAACAAACAAGATTGGATTTGTGTCCGGGTGCAGCAGCCCCGGCCTGGCCTGTGGGGCTCTGTGCCAGACGAATCCCTCCGTGTGCTGGAGGGGCACAAACGTGGGGCATTCCCAAGAGGTGCCTCAGATGAGATGGCTCTGTGCTCCAAAGACATCCCTGGCAGTGATGGGGACACTGCTGGGGACATCTGCTTTTAACTAACGAGGAGCTGTCGAGTTTCACGTGTGCTCTGGATTCAGGGGTGCTGAGCTCCTGAACCCAGTCGTGTCTGTGGGGTTTCTGTAGGCTCAGCAGGTGTAAAAACAAACAGACCAACAAATAACCAGACCTGCAGGTGACAGCTTTGGGCAGGTGTGATGTCCAGCTGTCTGCAGTGTGTGCACACTGTATGAGAGAGAGAGGCCGGCCCTGGGAAATGCCTCCAGCAGCAGCAGCCAGTTTGTGCTCACAGAAGAGCTTTGCCACAGCAAGGTGTTAGCTGGTGGCATCTGTAAAATGGAACCTGAGGAGCAGGAAGCAGGCAGTGTTGCCTCTCGTCTCATTTGAGGGAATGGTGGTGAGCCCAGGCTCTGGATTGTTTTCCCTTCCCATCGCCTGTGGGATGTTCCTCCCAAGCCGCTGCAGCACAGGCAGTGTGGAGGGGGAGCATTCAGAGAGGCCTTAGAGCAAGGGGCATTAGGGGAACAGTGTTTACCCTCCTCTGTATTTGCTGCCTCAGGCAAATGTCCCTCTCGTTCCTCCAGTGGCCTTAAAATGAAGGGTCTCTCTCCTTGAGCACCCTTGCCCTCCATACAGCTCCTCCTGTCTATCAGCTGCCAGGGGAAGAGAAAAACACCCAAGCCTAAAATTAATGCTTTCTCCTTTTTTACAGCACTGTTGCACCATCCTATTCTTCCCTTTGGCTTCAAAGGGACTATGCCAGCGCTGACTGCCATCATCCCTTTACCTTCTGGGCCCTGGTCCTGTGCTCCCACATTAAAAGCTTTGTTGCTCTAAGAAGGTGTGTGCCATCATTGGGAGGGAATGTACAACCCCTGGTGCCAGTGAGCCTGACTGGGGCAGGAGCCTCATGGGGTTTGTGGGGAGAGGTGTAGCTGTTGCCTCCTGCTGCTCTCTGGGAGGAGGCCTGGCAGCTTGGCTTGGCTGAGAGAGCTGAGCATGACCTGAGGTGTGTGAGCAAAACCCTCACCTGAGGCTGGGAGAAAAGTGCAGTTAGTGATGGGCTTGTGCTGTTCCTGGTTTCAGTCAGCTCTCATGCACTGGGCAGAGTTAATGCAGAAGTGCTTGGAGATATTGGAGCAGAGCTAGGCGAGCTGGTGGGTCTGGGAGAAGCAGCTTGAATTGTGAAAGGAGGCTCTCTGGATCTGGGATGGCTTGGAATTCCTAGGGAGAAGCTTGCCAGCTGAACTAGAGAGCAGTAGTTCCTGCTGGTATGGCTCAGCCTTCCTAGGAAGACACTTCAATGTGTGTTTGATTAAGAAGAAAATGGGCAGAACAAGTGGAAAATAACAGTATATCTCAAAGAAAATTCCAGTGGGCAGGAGCTGTTAGTTGGCTTCAGATAGAAAGGTTGGGCTGTTCTAAGGGATGTGCTTTCTGGAGGTGAGGGAGAGGGGTACAAGTGTACAGCACTTCAGGGTATGAGAAATTAAAGGGCAGCACAGCTGCTAAAAAATTGAAGTTGATGTATTTGCCACTATAAATGCAGCCTGTTTGCCAGAACTCTGCAGTTGGATTAAACTCAAAGCATATGTTCTCTGACTTCAGAACTATCCCACACTGGGCTGTACCCATCATCTCTGTTCTCCCCTCAGCAAAAAAGCTGAAGCTCTGTAAATGTTGCCCATCTCCAGCCCAGCAATCCTTGCACCACTTCCCGTTCACTCATTAAACTTTTTTTCTCCTTTGTCCACCTCTTTCTCTGTATAGGTGCTTCCTGATTTCTTTTGCCTTCTGATGTCTTTATTTCTAATGTCTTTTCCTTAATTTTTTGCCCCTCTTTTAGAGCCAAGACGTGACTCTGTCATGTGTTCAATGAATTGCCAGATAAAGTACCTACCTGTACGTTCTCACTTTTGTGTCCTTCATATTTTGGAGAAGCTCCTTAGAAGCACCCCAAAATAAACTGGACTTTGTTTTCACATGCACAAAAATCTACAATATAGATTGCCTATCTGCAATAGGCTTTTGGTTTCCTGAGATTACTTATAGTCATCAGTTTTGTCTGGTGTTTCCTTGCTACTTCAGTCTTGTTTAGATTGTAAATAATTTGGATAAGGGTCTTGTCTCTTTATTACAATTATTGAAAAGCTATGACAATTAAATCTTGGCTTATACTTAAGGCTCCCAGTGAATGCTAAGCTCCTGATAACAAAATAATTCAACAGAGTGAAATTCATCTCCTGCTTAGGGTGTTTTCTACAGTCAGTGTGAATCCCTAAAAAAGACAAATATTTTCCAGTGAAACATAAAACATAATGATGACTTCAAGTTGTCCACTTATCTTTGTAACTGGCCTGAAATCCAGGGTGGCTGGGAGTCAAAATCCTGTCCTTTCTGGCTTTGTGTGTTCTGCTGGTTACCTGCCTAATGAAGTAAGTAGGCAGGGCAATCTCTTTGTCATCCATGAAACCTCTCTGGGAAAGTGGGTTGGAAACATTTAGGTGAAGATTTTTGTTTCAGTATGGATTTGCTGTTTTGTGGAAACATAAGGATGTTATGGGAAGAGATAGGTTTCAATGAATTCACAAGCTTTAAAAAAGATATGAAAAGTCCAGGATCATTCCTGTTGTTTCCAGGCTTTCCTCCTGCAAGTGATGGTAGTTGCATGAAGGCAATTAGAGAATATACTGTTTAGGTTGCAGTGGTTTTGCCACTTTTGTTGGAGTCAATTTTGATCTATGAAAATTTGAGACTTTGAATTTTTGGTTTGAGTTTTGGTAAGAAAAGGTTTAATTCTGCTACTTAGTAGAGCTGTAGATAATGAATTCTACTAGACAGAGCTGTGAAAACTAGATCTGCCACAGTTACAGGAATATACCTATTTCAATACAGAGCTTTTTCCTGCCACTGGCAAACCGCCAGGGACATTGATTTTTCTTCTCTGTTCTTGCCTTGTTTTAATATTCTCAGACCAATTTGTCTCATCTGCACCTCTTTTCTAAATCCACTGTCCCAAGCTGTCTTTATCCTTTAGGCTTTGGGTAAGGCTGTGCTCCCAGGGTGCTGACTTGGAGGGTGCCATTCTTTGGCTGCCAGCTTCAGTGCAGGAGGAGAATTATTTCTTATCACCATCCCAAAGGAATGGCAGGAAATTGCAGCACAACTGGGAGCTATTTCCATGTTCTGACCATGAGATGATGGCTGCTGGGACAGGGAGTGCATGGCTTCAGTTGCAGGTTAAGTTATGGTATTTTTGTGGCCCTCCCTCCTTGGCATTCAACACTTCTCATCCAGGGGAGGCTGCAGATCCAAGGGGGAAAGAGGTGCATAATTAAGGATTAATTGTTACTGAATTTAGATTGATGGGGGGAAAATACTAATAAAAATTGGTAGGAAAGGCTAAGCAAGCACTAGCACGTTTTTTAGGATACTGGCTGAGTTCCCTGAGAACTGATTGCTGGGGCAGGGTGTGAGCCACTGGGACCTGCCCACACGAGCTGGAGGGAAACCAGGAGGCAGCACAGAACTGGGAGAAGCAGCCATGAGCATGGGCCAGAAAGGTAATGGCAAAAGGACTCCACGAGATGCAGAGAAGAAAACAAACTGGACGTTGTGCAGGATTAATCTACTTGCTGTTTTCTCATTGTGTTCTGGAAACTTGAGTTTATAAACTGAATTGCAGCAAAGAAATATCTGGTTTTTATTATCAGTCCTGTCTCCATATGGAAATAAGTCAGTTCAACGTCAAGTTTTTTTATTCTTTTAAGTGTCATCGTGTTTTACTGCATCTTTTGGTATCTCTCAACCATTTTCTTTTTATTCACTATAAATGATTAATTCACTAGGCAGTCAGCTTCCCCTGAGTATTGTGGGGTTCTAAATTGCTTATTTGGCCAAAAAAGTATTTTTTACTGGATTAGAAAATCTTGACTGACTACTAAGGAGGGAACTCTTCATAATAAATATTTCTTTTGGGTAGAGCATGACTCTACAATTGAAGAAAAGAAAAATTTTGAGAAGTATTCAAACAGTGTTTATACTTACTGTAGAAGTTGGAATTGTAAGAGACACTTTGCCATTTCTGCCTTGTGAACATATTCTGAAGGACAGAAACAAATTTTAATCTAAAGAATATGATTTTTGATTGGGAAGGAAACTTTATAATGCATGACATAAAAATTCAGATCTATAATTCACACCTTAATACAGATACAATATTAATGTTGGACTGATGTATTTGTGCATTTTTTTTTCTGGACTATCACTTCTGAAACTGCCAGAAAAAGGGAAAGACTTTCTCATTTTTGTCAATATAATTATATGGCTCTCAAAGGATTTGCTCCTGTTTTCACCCGTCAGGAGAGAAGTAGTAGACTCATAATACACAACAAATAAATTGCACTTCCTGCCTTCAGATCTCTCAGTCAGACTGATGAAGGCAGATAAAGGGGGAAAAAAGCACTCTAACAAAGGGGTGAAAGTCATGTTTGGTCTTTTTGGAGAAAAGGAGAGTGGAGAGTGGAGCCTGATCGGGGCTGTAATGAGAGTGGTTTCAAAGGGGAGGGGTGACAGGAGGTGGGACATTCCCTCTGCCAGATTTTGATTTAAACCTGAGCACAATGGTGAGGCACCTGTTGAGAGCTGAAAGCTTTGCTGGGGATTGTGGTGCTAATTGTCTCCTCGCAGCTGGGGGATTATGTGTAACCCGAGCACTGCGGGTCTTATGGCAGCCCCACAAGCACTGGGGGGAAAAGTTCCTGTTTTCTGCAGTTAGTGCCACCAAATGGGGTTTGTGCAGTTTGTCTTTCAGCTCACCTTGCCGTGATGCACTTTTAAAAAAGGGGATTTCTATCTGCAAGTACCACTGGAAGTGCAAGGATGTTGTTTGAACTTCGAAAGTAATTGTGATTCTACTAAATATTATATCGTATACTGAACCGAATAAAATCTCCCTTTCTCTGTCCATGTGTTGGTTTGTTTTTTTCCCCTCTGTATTTTAAAAATACCTTTCATTGTATAAACACACTTAATCTCGATGGATGCTCTGATGCCTGGAGTAACGAGTAACAGTTCATTTTATGCCTGTGTGAGACTCCATTCACTCCACTGAGCCACCCTGGGATCACTGGATTTGACTATGATGTGAATTTGTGCTTCTTTTTTTTTTTTTTCTTGTCCCAAGAAAAGAGAATGACTTTGATGGTATCAGCCTTTTATCAGTCATCTGAGGACGGGCAATAGAAAGCAGCCCCAAAGTATTCGTGACTGGATGACATGCAGAAGGAAGAGCTGCAACTCATGAAATTAGACCCTTAAAATCTTGTTCTCCTTAATTTATTCATAACCCAAAGTAACTGTGGAAGTTTCTCAAGGTTTACATTAAAATGGGGTCATAGATGACAATTTGGTGCAAATCTGGGGTTCTAAATTTACTGTTGCATGGGCTCTTTAACAATAAATAAGTAAAAGAGGAACTTTTAATGTTTCTCACATGAGCACTGCAACATGTTCCTGGAGAATATTAGATACTACTTTAGAAGCAAATCAAAACACCAGCATTTGTGATCTGCTCCACTTTTTCATAATGTTATCAATCTATATTAAAAAAGTCATTGTGGAAGCACTGAGAAAAATAACTAAAGAATATTTTTTCCTTCAAAGGTCTGTCATAAAAACATATTGCCCACATGTACACTATGTAAATATTTATTAGAATTATGACAGTTTTGCTGATGTTTAAGACATTGTAACACTGGATTAAAATGTTAGAAAATTGCATTCAGCTATCTTGTCTCTCCCTTGATAACATTGCATTGTTCTCTGAAAGATGATTTATTTTTTGTACCATACAAAGTGCTTCAAATTTAGGACTAAGACTAGTTCAGATCCTGTCAAAAAAAAAAAAAAGGATCTGAATTGCAGTGGTATTTCTATTCATTTGCTTAGTAACAGGAGCTACAAAAGATTAACATATTCTTGTAAGTCAAAGAAACAGCATTGAGTTCCATCTATAGCTCTTAACTTATACTCCAAGTTTGAACACCCTGAAAATTATCCTTTTTTTTTTTCCCCTGAATGGAAATGATCCCAGGCTTTACATCATTAGGTAACACTGAATTATCTTATTTAGGTTCAAACTTAGTAATGAAGACAATTTCTGCCCTGAGAAACTGGATGTTGACTTGATCTAACTTAATGATGGAAAACACCTGAGACCAATGAGCCCTGAATGAAAACTCCTGTGTCCTCCAGCTGTGGGTTCTGCCAAGGTAAAATGCAAAACCATCAGAACTGAAAAAGGGAAGAGCTTATCTTAAATATTTCAGTGAAAGAACCATGATTTCTGCAACTAAGTGACTTCTTGTTGCTTGTTTGCGCTATCTGGAGGAGTGGAATGCATTGCTCGGGCTTGTCACCCAGTGAGATTTAAACAGCTTCCTTGAAAATGCAAAAATGTTCTTGTTTGACTGACATCTCACTGTTCATGTTCAGTATTTCCAGTGGGTTGCCTCCAGCTCACTAAACAAACAGACATACTGTCATAAAATGGTGTATTCTTCAGTGGAATAGGGATAAATCAAAAGGGAAAAAAGTCAGTTCAGGATGGTAATTGCAGTAACTTGTATTATTGTAGCTCAGCATGGTTGTAAATATAAATCTACTAGAAAGAATCAGGAAAAAAGGTACATTTAAACACAACATTTTTAAAAGGCATAGTCACTTGCTTGTGTTAAAAGCTCATCTATAGGCCTGGAAATACTTAGAACTTAGAGTGGTGAAAGGAAATCTTGTTGAAGAAATGTGAAAGTAACATTTTTGGCAGCCCACTTTGGGTGATGTCGTTCTACAGAATGTGCTAAAGGCTGTTATTTTACAGCAGGAACCGATTCCTCAAGGCAGGCAGAGTCCATGGGCACTTAGTGTTGCTCTCAACTCCAGCCAGCCGAGATCTGAGCTTCTTACACCTCGTTAGCTGGTAATAAACTGTGCCCGCTCCTCCCGGTGGCACCCGCAGGTTGGCTGTCCTGGACAGACACCCCGGGCAGGTTTGACACCTCCTGCAGCTGGTCCCGGGGGGCTGTCCCTGGGCTGGGGGGCTGCTCGGTGCTCATGCCCAGAGTTCTGCCCTGGCTTCTGGGGGCTGAGCCCACGGGGAGCAGAGCTTTGGGAAGGCAGGGAGGGCCTCCCCACCCCCCCCCGTGGGGCAGTCCCTTGGGAGGTGACAGTCCCTTGAGAGGTGACAGTCCCTTGGAGGTGACAGTCCCTTGGAGGTGACAGTTCCTTGGGAGGTGACAGTCCCTTGGAGGTGACAGTCCCCTGGGAGGTGACAGTTCCTTG